CAGATGTCATGAAGTTCAAGTTGAGAATAACTGCAGCCCCTTTTTCTTTCATATGGACCATGTTGTCTGGCTGGTCAGCAAACATGGGGATGCCCACAATGGGAACGCCGTGGTAGATGGCTTCATAAATCCCGTTTGTGCCTCCATGGGTGATGAAAGCTCTAGCTTTAGGGTGACCTAAGACATGTCAAATAACCATGAAACATCTGGAGTAAGTTTTTCACACTTGGACAGCAAAAAGGTTTCACTAAACCTGGACAAGTACTTAGCTTTAGTTTTAAGGTGACATTAGACATGCCAAATAACCATTAAACAAACCATTAAACATTTAATTACTTATTACACACTTGGACTACTTGGGAATGTCAATATATGTGAAGAAGTGATTTAAGTTGAAATTTAACTTGCATGTCCAGACATCTGTTAAAGTGGAACAGCTTTGAGAAAATGAACTAAACAAAGTAGTTTAGCGCAGCGTGCAACTTGTAATCATGATTTCATCTGTGAGAAAATCATATTTCATTCAGTTCTCCTTGTTTTTAATATAACAAATGCTCACAGCCTCCAATAAAACATTTAGTGTTGAATGTGGCAAAATAAGCTCTAGGCTTTTAAAAACTTTTGTAGAAAAAATTATGTTCAGTGTGCAGTGAAAATTTGCCATCGTTGTGGAATCTGTTTTCACTAAGATAAGTTTTGATGGAATCAATGTTTCTATACTGCCCATCATCTATTGATCCGTTATTCATCTGTGATTGGTACCCACATTACTTACCCAGGAGGTCATTCTGAGGGATCCAGTCATATATTTTAGTGTTGCCACCCAAAGTTTCTGGCTTTTCTCCTCTATATCTCCACAGCACCTATAAACAGTAAGATATTTGCTAACATGATTGGGGGGGTTTTGTATGCTAGTTTTATATTGTAATGCAATTTTTCAAGACTTGAAGGGTAGGGGACATCTCAAGACTTGTCATTAGAAATCATCAGACAAACAACAGACAAACAGACAAAATCTGACTTTTCGCAGGAAAAACTGAGTGATGTAAAATTTGAGATGGTAGAAATGGTAGTTTTGGTAGTCCTAGTAGTCTAAGGTGACCATATTTTGATTTCCAAAAAAGAGGACACTTGTCCTTAAAGAAAACTTAACTTTTGTGGGATCTGAGCGAGGCCTGAAGCTATCATGTTTGCCTTCTCCTTGGTGACGTTGTTGATCATGGATCCTAAAGTGAAGATCACAATGCCATCATCTCCAGAACTCTGCACAAATTCCTCCAGATCCTGTAACAAGTCGAATATTATCCCACAGCCAACAACCAGCTGTTTTTTTAAATTATTTTTGTTCAACATTTTGATGGTTTCACTGCTCCTGGCACAAATATTCTGTAATGATTAATTAGATGGTAATAGTTGAGTGTCCTTACCTCTGGTAAAGGTTTAGCAGGTCTGCAGTGGATCCCACCAACATATTTGAAGTTGGGGGGGAAAGGACGAGGGAATTCAAAATCCCAGTAGGTTCGGATTAACCAGATGTCTGCTTTACTCATCAACTCACAGGCACTGGTGGGAGTTCCTGTTGCAATGCATAAGTAAAGGACATATCACCAATAGTTCATACAAGGCATATTTTCTTAATCAGATCTGATGGGATATTTAAAAAACTGCGTTTAAATCTTTAGCAAGTTTTAAATAGTTTTATAAATCAGTGCTTTACGCCTATTTGCTCACCTTTGACATCAGAGTAATATCTGTCTAATACGTTCCAAAAAGTGTGATCAATCATGATGTCTTGGAGAGTGTAGAAGAGAAAGTTCCACACTCTCTCTGAGAAGTCCATCTTATCTGTGAGTTTGCTCATAGCACCGGGAACAAAGGATGGTGGAGCAGGCATCTGACCACAATGCCTCTCCCAGTTATTAGCTAAGGAGAAGCGCAAGGAGAAGACGAGTGGGATCCCCAAAATATCTGCTGCCAAGTCACTGCCAGGGTAGAGGGGGTCAGCCAAGAGAAGGTCGTACTTTCCTTCTTTCAATTTCTTCATGACGGCTTCTGATTTCACCACACCGTCCAAATACTGGATAGAAAACTGCAGGTCAGTTTTCATTATGTCAATGAATCTGATGTAGAGCTCCAAGTAGTTCATATAATCAATCTCGTATATGGAGAATCGGAGGAACTCTTCTAGAAACGCTTCCATAGCCTCCAATGAGAAAGAGACGTTGAAGGGCTCATAGTGAAAGCGGGAAGGTTCATTGGTGTTCATGTACATTGACGAGCTCGGGGTCAGTACAGTCACCTGGTGTCCCCTGTCAACCAGCGTCTCCAGAACAGGCTTCATGTTTATCCAGTGGCTGCCTTCGGTGTACCACACCAAAATGTTCCCTCCGTTTGCACTCCATGTCGCACAAAGTACCATCAGGACGCAGGCAGTGAGACGCAGATCCATGGTGTCTGAATGTCAGCAGGAAAACCAGCTGTGGTCTGATCCTTTGTAGAAGTATCACAGGAAAGATAATTATTAACTCAAAGTTAAACTCTGACTCACTTCTTCTGTACAGTATTGCTCATTTCACAATGGGTTAAAAGTTAATGGGAATAAAGTTGACAGTACTGAAAAAAGCAGGACTGATCCGGTATGAGAAATCCACTAAGAAATTAGTAAAAATGTCAGAGCTCGACGTTGTTGTTAGTCGGGTAGAGACGGAGTGAAGTAATGTAAAACAATGGTCATTTCAACTGTATAGGCTTGGACACTGTTGCATAATCTGAGGAAGTTGTGGGTGCCTGTGCAATTGTTTCCATGCATGCCACTGAAACACAAAGGAGTCAGGATTGTTAGAATTCAAACAAGCTGTAACCCCATTGATGATTTGACTCTGCCAGTGTTGAGGTTCAAGGTTAAGCCAATATTTAAAAGGTGATGGAGAGTTATCATTCAAGACATATCTGGTAAAATAAAGGAATTAATAAAAAGTTTTCTATACAGTCTGTGTGATGATCTCTCCAGATTTTTTGAGGAGAATGTGAAGAATGAAGTTGAAGTGCCCTGAGGCAACTGCTGTTGTGATTTGGCACTATTTAAATAAAACTGAATTCAACTGAACTCACTTTAATAAGAGAGGTCCAAAAGATCCTGTTGAGTTTCATGAGTCCTGACTCCATTCTAACTGGATACAGCCTTAAAACATACTTGTGTTTAATCAAATTTACCTTTCAGCTTCTTTTTTATATTTATTAATACACAGCCATTTTCACATCTGTCAGTTACAATCCTCACTAAACTTTGATACACAAGAAAAAGATACGAAACCACCTGGATATTTGAAACCACAAGCATGCACGTTTGTCACATCTGAAGACGGCACTCTGAGTGCTTGTCAATGAAATTCCACCCCCTGACCTCACCTTTTATATAAGGTGAGGTCAAGATACAAGATACAACATGCCAAACACAATTACCTGACTGAGAGAAACAGATATTGAAACGGCATCATGCTCATGTGGTCTTGTCCTGCAGAGTCGGAATTAATTGATTATGAGTCGTTTCTGGGCAGAAGTGTAAAAATATACAGTAATGTTTGAGACAAAAGTGATTTGGCAAGAACATGCATACAAAAGTAATCTCACTTTATATCTCTCAGTCTTAACAAATTTCAATTCAACAATCTTAACTCTACTATTTGTAATGTGCCTAACCAAAGTTTGCCTACAACTTTGACCACCACATGGCAACTGGAAAAAGTCTTGATGTAGCTACTCGCACTTTTCTTGGAGTAGTAACAAATATTAAAGGATTTGCAACTAAGATAATCAAATAGCTTAATCATATTTTTTATATGAAAGATCTCTCAAAAACATTTTGAAACATGTTTGGAGTGTCATCAACAATTACATATTCGTAGATATCATTGTCTTTTATCAGTCTACAAGAATATTGTTAATCATTGATTTATTTTACTCTTGAAGAGCTATCGTGTTTGGGTTTTTTGTTTTTTGATAGGAAATGAGCATGGTGTCTTTCTGGGAGACTCTAGTGGTGATGAGGGTCTCCTTCAAGGTTTTCATTCATTGCATGCTGTCCCATTGACTACAACACTGGTACTTCCTCTGCCTCTCCATTGTATTTCCTACATCTTCCAGGGCAGAGTTAATGCTGTATCTACTCACAAGTTGTGAAAGTACTGCTGGCTCTATTTCACATTAAATTGACACATCTATTGCATAAATGTTTTGGACAGTAAAATGTAGGTTGCTTTTTTTGTAACCAGTAAGAAAATCTTCAGATGTCTTCCTGTTTACTACAGCTGCTCCATGGGATGGTGATGGATACATCAGTGGTTAAAAGCTAACCCGCAACAAGCTCACAGCTGAATACATCACAATGATCCATTCAAGAGAGTGATGGGTCACCACCATGCAAATGTTTTATTTGTTATTACAAAATCCTTACAGAGTATCATCTCATTGTTGAGTTAATTTGATCCACATAAAGATAAATCATTATCATACAGTGAAATCTGACTTTAAATTCCACAGAATCATGATCCAGATATCAGATTTATTGATGAAGATGTTGATTGTCACAGTTCCTAGATTGAATTGATTAATAAATTTATTTTTTTTTTAATTTAAAAAAAGGGAAAAGAGTAAATAAAATATATGCATAAATAATGAAATGCTTTTTAGGAAAATATTTCTTTATGCATTAAAAAACAAAAACAAGTTTGAATATTCTGAATTCAATCTGACGTTAGTGTTTTTTCCAAACAAAAAAAAAACAAAAAACAAAAAAACAAAAAACAGCCAATCAGTATTTGCTTTTTAATGTCAGATCAACTTCAGGTTCTGTTACGCAAATTAGTGCATCTGTTAAAGTCATTAGTGGTGGTGCATAAAGGAGAAGATGAAGGGAAATTCAACATATATGAAAGAAAGTTTCATGCTGGTAACAAATATTACCCCAGTCCAACATTCACAGCACCATTTCAGTTTAGTTGTTATTCAGCCTTCCTTTTTGTCTTTCCTCTCCTGACACAACACCTGTGCCAGCAGAAACTGCAGGTCTTGATGAAGATGAATATGATGAGTAGAACTATGGTGAAGAAGAAGCCCAGGACATCCAGGCTGAGATACTGGTACCAGGTGAGTTCATGGGCCTGGACCCTCAGGTGCTTGGCCCCTTTGTTTCTCAGTGTGAACTCGATCCAGAATACTGCCTCTTCCAGAGCACTCATGGGTCTGTCGTGGTGGATGCTGGACAGCCGCATAACATTTTCTTTGTACCTGTGAATGTGCATATTGGGTTCAAATAATTAACCTTTGAATTGTTATACTATAATTTATTTATTTTTTTGCCAGACAATAAAGGGATGTATTTCAAAACTCTAAAACTGATAACGCCTCAAGTTAAAATTGACATCTAGAGATATTTCAATCATTTTGTGGCCTTTGAAGCTTTTGTGGTACTTCTGCTATCAAGCTCATTAGACCCTTGTTCCTTTATGACCTGCTATTATCTATTATTTATACCAAAAAAACCCTTTCAATCATGAACTGTATAAAAAAGATGGAAGCCAAATAAGCTTTGAGACCACTGAGACCCCAAGATCATTGGCAAAGGGTTTACTGAGGTTAGAAGAAAGCTTCTAAACCTTCTTTGTGTTAGCTCGCTCCACAAAACTTTAAACCCCAATTGGAGATGACCGGTATCACCACAATGGTTATGAACTTTCTTTGTTAAGCCAGGCCCTCTGCTTGAGGATCTGTGTGCGCTGAAATACAAATGTGAATTTTGCAGGTCATTTGACTCTTGTTCTGCATACTAGAGGTGTTATCTGATGATAACATGGTCATTAAATTTCTCCAATGAACATAAGGTTAGTAATAAACTTTTGTAAAGAAAACCAGAAATTAATGTTGCAGAATTAGTTTTCATTTAGTTCGAGTTAATAATTCTATTGTTGAGTGTACGCAATTTTGCATGCTTTTTAAAAATGTTACATTTAAAACATCTAGAGATATTTCAATCATTTTGTGGCCTTTGAAGCTTTTGTGGTACTTCAACTATCAAGCCCATTAGACCCTTGTTCCTTCATGACCTGCTATTATGCTATGTTCGTCATTTGGACTTTACTATAAGTCACGCCCCCAAAAAACATTCAATCATGAACTGTATAAAAAGGATGGATGTATAACAAGCTTTGAGACAACTGAGACCACACGACTTCACATTAGAGATGTAAAACTGGATCCATTTAAACATTAATGTTCTACAACCTAATAAATAACAATTGGAAATCACTTCATCAAAATTAAATTGTTTGAATAGATACTTGTCTCGGAAGTTCAAGTTTCTACTATGCCATCATATTAAAAGAGGCTTAACAGCAAATTAAAACAAAGTACAAAAACATTTATACATTTTTTGCATTGACAAATTAATACATGGACATTTAAATGTATTTAAAAATAAAAAAATAATTTTTTTTAAAAATTGGCCAAACTAAGACCAGATGGTGCTCAGTGTATGTAATTTCCAGCCAGTGGATTCTCCCCTTGCTGGAAATTCCAAATAATTCAAATTTAAGGTATGTTATTCTTGGCCTTCATGCTTTTCATACTCTTGAGCCCACATTCGTCTTTGGTACAACATCTATGCTTTCGGTACTTAATCCAAAGTACGGATAGTTCAAAGAACTCACGATTTGTCATTGATGACTGTGTTGATTGCGTCTCTAAGATCTTCAGACGTCATGAAATTCAAGTTGAAAATAACTGCAGCACCTTTAGCCTTCATATGGACCATGTTGTCTGGCTGGTCACCAAACACGGGGATGCCCACCATGGGAACGCCGTGGTAGATTGCTTCATAAATCCCATTTGTGCCTCCATGGGTGATGAAAGCTCTAGCTTTAGGGTGACCTAAGACATGTCAAATAACCATGAAACATCTGGAGTACGTTTTTCACACTTAGACAGCAAAAAGGTTTCAATAAACCTGAACAACTAATTTGAGCTGATTTGAGTATTTTTTTTGTAAAAATTCTTAGTTGGCGGTGTTACTGTGAACTTTACCGTCTCTGTGGCATCTGATTTCATTAGGATTATTTCTCATGGAATAAAAGGCAGACATAGAAAGAAATAACTGTGATTGGTACCAACTTTACTTACCCAGGAGGTCATTCTGAGGAATCCAATCATATATTTGAGTGTTGGCACCCAAAGTTTCTGGCTTTTCTCCTCTGTATCTCCACAGCACCTTTAAATAGAAAGTTCACATGGTGTTTTTTCCATTACATCTTATGCAGGTAGTACTTCAATATGTCACATTGAAAGAAGGTTTGCTGTCTCCCAGCACAGTGTCGTGAGCATGGAGGAGTTTCTAGTTACATGATAGTTTGGGGAGGTATATCCATGGAGCGATGCATAGACCTACAGACTAGACAAAGGTACTTTTACTGCATTTAGGTATGTGGATAAAATCCTTGGACCCATTTTCAGACTCTACACTGATGCACTGGGCCCTGGGTTCTTCTTGATGCACAACAATACACAGGCTCATGTGGCAGGAGTATGCTGACAGAAATGGATACCCTTGACTGTCCCCCACATTGGCCTGACCTAAATCCAATCGAACATCTTTGGGACACTATGTTTCAGTACATCCGACACCACCAGTTTGCACCTCAGACTGTAAGGATCTAAGTCAGGGGTGGCCAACTCCAGAGCTGAAACTGGTTACCCTAAAACCTTACAAACTACTCCATGCTTTCAGGGTTTGAACAAACTGATTACAGTTGGCACAAACATTATCCTCTGACCTTTTGTGGGATCTGAGCGAGGCCTGAGGCTATCATGTTTGCCTTCTCCTTGGTGACGTTGCTGATTACGGATCCTAAAGTGAAGATCACAATGCCATCATCTCCAGAACTCTGCACAAATTCCTCCAGATCCTGTAACAAGTCAAATATTATCCCACCACCAGCCAACCAGCTGTTTTCTCATTTTTGTTCAACATTTTGATGGCTTCACTGCTCCTGGCAGGAATATTCTGTGATGTAATGATTAATCAGATGGTAATAGTTGAGTGTCCTTACCTCTGGTAAAGGTTTAGCAGGTCTGCAGTGGATCCCACCAACATATTTGAAGTTGGGGAGGAAAGGACGAGGGAATTCAAAATCCCAGTAGGTTCGGATTAACCAGATGTCTGCTTTACTCATCAACTCACAGGCACTGGTGGGAGTTCCTGTTGCAATGCATGAACAATAGACATTAGCATATCACCAATAGTTCATGCAGGTTGTATTTTCTTGGGCAGGTTAGATGGGATATAAAAACACTGCATTTAAAGCTTTAGCAGACTTCAAATATTGTTGTTTTTTTAAACCGTGTGCTTCATGTCCATTTGCTCACCTTTGACATCAGAGTAATATCTGTCTAATACGTTCCAAAAAGTGTGATCAATCGTGATGTCTTGAAGAGCATAGAAGAGAAAGTTCCACACTCTCTCTGAGAAGTCCATCTTATCTGTGAGTTTGCTCATTGCACCAGGCACAAAGGATGGTGGAGCAGGCATCTGACCACAATGCCTCTCCCAGTTATTAGCTAAGGAGAAGCGCAAAGAGAAGACGAGTGGGATCCCCAAAATATCTGCTACCAAGTCACTGCCAGGGTAGATGGGGTCAGCCAAGAGAAGGTCATAATTTCCTTCTTTCAACTTCGTCATGATGGCTTCTGATTTCACCACACCGTCCAAATACTGGATAGAAAACCGCAGGTTAGCTTTCATCATGTCAATTAATCTGATGTAGATCTCCCAGTAGCTCATATAATCACTCTCATACAGACTGAATTGGAGGAACTCTTCTAGATACTTCAGTAAAGCCTCCAATGAGAAAGAGGCATTGAAGGGCTCATAGTGAAAGCGGGCAGGTTCATTGGTGTTCATGTACATTGACGAGCTCGGGACCAGTACAGTCACCTGGTGTCCCCTGTCAACCAATGTCTCCAGAACAAGCTTCATGTTTATCCAGTGGCTGGCTTCGGTGTACCACACCAAAATATTTCCTCCATTTGCACACGATGTTGCACAAAGTATCAGCAGAACGCAGGCAGAGGGACGCAGCTCCATGGTGTCTGAATCTCAGCAGGACAACCAGCTGTGGTCTGATCCTTCGGTGAAAGCATTCCAGGAAAAAATAATTATTAACTTAATAAAGGTGAACTCTGGCTCACTTCTTTCTGTATTGGATTGGTCATTTTACAATGGGTTATAAAGCAATGATTGTAAAGTTGACAGTACTGAAAAAACAAGACTAAAATCTAACTTGTATGAGAAATAAATAAATATGTCAGAGCCTGATGTTGTAGCTGTTAGTTGAGGAGAGAGAGAGAGAGAGTGAAGTAATACAAAATAATAGTCAAAGTATTCAAAAGGATCCACCTAGAGCTGGGCGATAT